TTGGGACTGCCATGCAAACAGTGCAGACACTGACAGCAGAACTGTCGATTTCAAAGGCACGCTTTGTCATTGCTGTGTGACCTTACCGAGGGACACAGAACAGTCCTACGGCTTACTGGCCCTAAGATTCCTAATTGGCCTCTCCCAGACTGGTGTTGTTGACAGTAACACGTGCCGGTCACAGCGCTGACAATCAAAATTAATAGCCGGTCCACAGCAGAGCTTTCATCCCTAGCCTTACGCATTTTCATGCTGGCGTTGATTTTTCGTGGCCACTTTGCCTTTGTTGTGTGACCTCGCAGTAAGACACGAGATCTCCATTTGACCTGTCCCAGACTGGTGTTATCGACGGTAACACATGCCGCTCACAGCGCTGACAATATGCAGTCGCTCGGTAACCGACAGCAGAAAACATGATATGCTATTATTGATATTCACAAGATGCTAGATTTTCTGTGTCTGGTTAGAGGATTAATAAGCAAATACAGTTAAAATCAGCCTACTAGCCAGCAGATAACGGGACAATAGATCTATAATATCAAGTAACTCTCTCCGAACGCAACAAAATGGAAATTATTTTTATATTGTTTCTTACAAAGACAGGCGATGCATAAGACTATTGTACGTTAAAACTGGATTTTCGAAATGTGCATCGAAAAGTTAAGCAAGTCCAAATATGGAAAGCATAATTTACGCATTTGTGACAGTCACCATCGCATTGACTGCAGACGTGCAACTGAGCGTATGAAAATGTGGTTTGAATTTCACGAGGCAAGCTTAGCCACGCGTGCTCGAACCGAACAGTTTTATCGTAGATGTTAAAGCGCATAGTTTTGCTTTAATGAACAACTCCTCACTCCGCATGAGCAGTTCTCAAAGAATATTCATCACAAGTTCACAGTAACGATTAAATGACTAGACGGGGATCAACTTAACTGGCATTAATTTCAAATCACAAACCACCAAATAAGTACGTACAATCAACCTGCTTTATAATACTTGTTACTGCTACTAGAGAATATCTGTGAGGCATGTGTTCGGGCTCTTAAATACTATCCAACATTTCACTAATTCGGGTAGTAATATGATTTTTCCCATGCATAGCAATAACCAGTAGTTCGATCTTTTTCGACCTTCGGAGAAGGAGCCCAGGAGTACCTAAACGCGGTTTATGTCCTTGTAAGCAGTTCAACGCGCAAGCTTTCGAACCCAACTTGGCTGGTATTCACAGATAATGACTATTGTTCCTCTATCGATTTATGAAATTACTAATAAAATGGATTTCAGCTCTGTACAAAATGTGTCAGTGCAAGTCGTTTTAGTCTGTTAACGAT